ATGTTTCATGGTTTTTATATATCAAATCTTTTGAAAAGCGTATAACATTCCTGAGTTCAACTTCATTCCTAGTGAAGTTTGTCCAGTCTACTGATCCTATAGATAACCTAAATGGGATTTAAGTCAAACATGTGATTTTTAGTCCCTGTCCTGCCCCATCCTGCATTAGAAAGAGAATGTGGAGCGTAGAGCCTGGGCTTTTAAAGGTACCCAGCTGGGCTTTTAACATCTGCTACAAAGAAAAACAATTTTACTTTCAGAAAACAAACAAAAAGCATATTTTTCATTATTTCATTTGCATGTGGTCCCTCAGTAACTTTCTTCTCTTACATCTTCTATTTCTTCTACCCTTCTTAKTTTTGTTTTTCAGTACATTTAACAGACCCTTAATTTTGTAACTTGTTAAGAACCAGCTGAGATTTCAGTTATTACTTTGCTGATTTGTCTAAAGCAATTTCAGGCATACATGTACACACATTGTTTCACCTATGAAATGAGTAAGTGTGCCAGGTTCAGAAAGATGCCTGACTGCTGTATTCTTAYTTTTACATGTAGGTTTTATATAACATCTTCATCGCCTTCACCCAGATGCACCGGTATGAAGAAATTGAGTTCATCGAYGTCTTTGCTGGTTTCGCTCGTTTCTTCGTGGTGGGGYTGGGTGGAGTYGTGTTTGGMRTCGTATTTGGATTTGTCTCAGCATTCATGACTCGATTCACCCACAACGTCTCTTCAATCGAACCCCTGCTGGTCTTCATGTTCAGCTACCTGTCATACTTGTCTGCTGAGACCCTTTACATCTCTGGCATTTTGGCGTGAGTATTCCTTACAGCTTTTGGATGGCCTCTTGGAGGAAGTGGTGTTGTTTTGTGGTGGTTTGCTCAAGGTTGGTACAACACAGGCRTTCTGTCTCTGGCTTAGAGATCTGCAGTGGAGAGCTTTTTGGAGATGTGTAAAATGCAGTGGTAACCAGGAAAAGCAAACCCTCAGTCAGTGTAGGGACAGATGTGCTGTTTAGGAGTGTTGGCAAAAGCACTGCAAACTGTGGGTAAAGTGGCCAGTGCTGCCACCATCTGTCTGCTACCTCTGAGAAGATCAGCAGCAGGAGAGAATGATTTGATCATGGATCAGTTTATCTGTTTATTTCTAAGCAGCATCACCATCAGTGTATAAGAGAGACATAAAGCAATGAGCATGGAAAACATAAAGAACATCCAAGTGCTTGCCTTTYTATGTAGCATTGAATATCAGCTCTATCTGATTTACTGGAATTACATGACATTTAAACTGCATCACGGGAATTGAAACTGGGCAAAACCAGATGAAAGAGAACATCACCTACACATGTATACTCATAGTCATGTATATGAATATTGAAAAACGTATTTTGATGTGGTCAGGATAACTTGATGCTGCTGTAATGCTGGGGATGTGTTCCTCAGTGTATGTGATGGCGTGGGTGCCTGCTGTAGAGAGCAAGCTGACATGTTCTTGACTGCAGTAAATGCAGAGAAGGTGAATATTGTGGGAAGGAAAGAGGAAAGGAGCTGGAAGAGGAAGGAAGGAATAGAGACTGAAGTGAGAGACTTAAGGAGAAAACTGAAGGTGGCAGGTGACTTTCAAGGGTATCACACCAAACAGCCCATCTGGARGGTAAAGCATAAAGATGAGAACCTCATATTGCCAAATGCTCCAGCTGGTGCTGCTGGCTGCTGTAGGCTCAGTGCACAGCTGGAGGGTAGCAGGAGCCTTGCATGGCCTGTAACAGCTCTGAGCTTTCATGATGGCTCTTGGAGGCCCTCATGTTCTGGAAAGGACTTCCCTTTATCAAGGACAAACCAATTTAAACCTAACAAATACAAGCATATGACTGCTGCTGTYCAGACAGGTGGATTTACTCACCTCAACCTGTAAAACTCTGGTTTCACAGAATCACAGAATAGTTTGAATTGGAAAGGACATTCAAAGGCCATCTAGTCCAATACCATTGCAATAAACAGGGACATCTTTAGGTASATCAGGYTGCTCAGAGCCCCATCCAAACTGGCCTTGGATGTTTTCTCAGRTGAGACATCTGCCACCATTCTGGGCAACCTGTTCCAGTGCTTCACCACTCTCACTGTAAAAGTTTTTCCTTAGTCTAAATCTACCTAAATCTTCTAGTTTGAAACCATTATCCCCTGTCATATTGCAGTAGGTGCTACTAAAAATTTTGTCCCCATMTTTCTYATAGGCCTCCTTCAAATGAGCAGAGTTAGACTTACTACATAGTGAACACTAACACCRTATGGACCCTTTCCTATCTGCACTGCCCAAAGTACTGCTTCCCTGCCTGTTCCTTGCACTGGACTGCATAGMTCTTCATTTCTTTCACTTCTTATTTTCATTAGAGTTCTGAAATCATTAGTAATATAAGAATGTTAATATAATTGGGATTTATTATTCTTACTGCTTCATTAAGGAAATTATTGCTTGTTTTAGAGATGGGAACTTACTGTCACCTTTCTGAATTATTGAGGATTCATTCATTTTTCACKTGGATCATGAAAGTCTATTATGTATGTGTATTTGAAAGTCAACAGTATTAATCWTTAATGCCTAATGGCCTTGTCTTGGAGTGTCCTTGGACATGCTAAATGACTCAGCTCTGCCAGGATACCCTTGAGGTTTCTTTAGTGGAAATTAAACGAACAGAAACTAGAGGAAGGTTATTTAATGAACAGTCATCATTCTCTTAATTCACAAGTTTGGAGAAATATCATTACAAGAAACCCCCAAAGACTAAAATCATATCAGTAGAAACTAGATAGATGATGGKATATGTTATTAGCACAGCACTCAATCTGTGTGTTACCTGTGGAAAATGCAGAGGGGAAAAGTGAATCCCCTTCAGTAGGGCTGATCAAAGACTGCTGCTCCATGGGATTGTCCACAGCATCTGTGCTGGGTGGCTGCTGATGCCTCTGWAGCAGGTTCTAGTCTTGATTAACAGTGAAGAAGTGGAAAACATTCCTTTGTTTCTTTAGGTGCATTACCTGCACCTAGGTAACTAAAGGGAGAAGGACACCTCTGTAGAATAATTGAATTTTCTCCTGCTGTACAACAATGGGCTGCTGTGGTTGGAGAGTGCTGAAACTTGCCCTGGCACTGCTGATCTGSCAGCCAGCTGCCAGGGAGCCGTGGGATCTCTGGCCCTGGCATGGTTCTGCCATGATCTGCCACTGCCACCTCAAGGAAGAATGTCATTAAGAGGCAGGTTATGCCTCTCAAACTGATCCTCCTGAAGGCTGGTACAAAACCAACCTGCCTGTTGTTTGAGACAAATATTTGGTGCTTGCTGGCTCTGTGTTAGACATTCAGGATAAAATGGACTTTGAACTGGCATGTGTTACCCTCACTTCCTTGTCAGGAAGGCTGACTAATTTGTTTCCYTCATCCTCTATGTAAAATAGATTCATAAACCTGAATCAAGATGCTTTTCTATCTAAGGAAATAGCTAATGTTACTAAAGAATTAAAATGCTGTTTGACGTGATGAAGGTCAGAATCGGGTGATGGAGAGTACAAGGTAATGATGGTTGATGTTCTTGACTGAAAGAAGAACAGGTTTGTGGCTGATCTCTGATGTTTTGCTTGATACAGGATGACAGCATGTGCAGTGACAATGAAAAAATACGTGGAGGAGAATGTTTCCCAGAATTCTTATACCACAATAAAATATTTCATGAAGATGCTAAGCAGCATCAGTGAGACCCTGATTTTTGTGTTCATGGGAGTGTCTACAGTGGGGAAAAACCACGAATGGAACTGGGCCTTCATTAGCTTCACTCTGCTCTTCTGCCTCATTTGGCGRACACTGAGTAAGTCAGCTTTTGCAGACAACCTTCTTTGCACCTCTGAGAGAAACCCTTTGGTACAAAGTTGTGTTAGAAAAATCTGTGGGGACCAGCACAACTAGCTTGACAAAAATTTACTAGGTCTATGTTAGTGAGAAGCAAATTTCACAAATATAAATGTGGAGAAAAAGGGGAAAAAATCTGAATGCCAGTCTCCAAGCACAGGCTTAATGTTTATGAGAGAATGGAATTTTTTAGGCAAAATTAAAGTATTATCATGATTACATTTAKAGAGATGTTTATATCTTAATTTACTATATGCCCTTGGGTAAGTGGGCCTCGTAATGATTTCACCATGCACTGTCATTAACTTACTAATTAGATAATGCATATTATCACACTTAGGGTGCTATAACACTACAAGTCCTGGGCTGGGAGTGCTGGAGGCATAGGAAAAGAGGGAAGGAGAAAATTAGCACTGCTAGATAAGTGAACAGGAACTTACAACACACGTAGGCCAGCCACACTATGCTACTGCACCTCACAAGTCAACTCTGAAGTTTTGAACTGCTAAGAAACAGTGCCCATATKAAATGACTCCATTTTTACATATTATATATCCCATTCTTGCAAAGGTCTTTACTCTCTGACCTGTGAGACCAGGATTCCTCTAGCATGGGCAGGGCAGTTTATAGATAATRTCAGATGAGTTGTGGGACAGTTTCTCATCTTCTGCTGATGTCCAGGTTGGGTTGAAAACTGAAAAAGCAGAAGCAATAAGAGGGCTGGTGGTTGGTGTTCTGGAGATGATAGCAGTCCTGGTACCCTCCCTGTAAGTGCCTCTTGACCAGTTTACTGCAACTGTGGAAGCAGAGAGGCAACTCTTGGCCATCTTCTGCCTCATCTAGTGGTACTGTCCTGCCAAACATTCCAGATGATATAAGAAAAGAAGTATGGCTTGCTGGGTCAGACTAACCCTCTAGTGGTGTCTTCAACAGAGTGTGCAGGAGATGCTAACCATGAAAGATTTGCAAGCCCTTTCTGAGCTTTGTTCACCTCCTGCTTCTTCAGCATCCACAGTGACTCTGTTAGAGATGTGTGTGCCTGTGCTCTACAGGGGTCTGCTTTGGACTTGTCTATTCTTTTTTTTTAGTCTGAATGCTCTATTCAGCATTCAGGGTTAAGTTACAGCTGCTGCAACAGAAAGTAAACACATTTACTCCTGGAGARGTGATGAATTATGGAACACACTCAACTCAACCACTACTATTTGCCACTTAGGTTTAGTTTAAAATGTGAGTGAATGGTGTTTTTGAAATTAAAGCTKTTTTTGAAGAGGTACACATGAGGGCCAAAAATACAATTATGTAGGCCACCTGCCAGCACCTCCTTCAGCCACCAGCCCCTGTCTATATTCCCTTTAGAGTCAGAGCTGGTGGCTAATGACACCCCTTGGGGCTCAACACAGACACCAGTATGTTTTTGAAATCTTTCTTAATGACCTGGAAGAAGGAATGGAGTGCACACCAAGTGGCTTTGAGCCTGGCAGAAAGCTGCAGGGAGTAGTCAGTATTCTGGATGGTTTCCATTCAAAGAGACCTGRACAGGCTGAAAAATGGATTGACAGAAAGCTCATGAAGTTCAAGAAGAGAGCATACAAGGACTTCCATGTGTACTGGAATAACTTCATACACTGTATAGGCTTGGAGTAGAGTCAGCAGCTCTGCAGGAAAGGCCCTRGTCTGGTAGACAGCAAGTTGAACACAAGGCAGAATTGTGTCCTTGTGGCAAAGAAGCCATCTCTGTCCCAAGCTACATTATCAGGACCGTAGCCAGCAGGCTCAGCAAAATGGTTTCTTCCCCTTTCTTCAGCACTGGTGGATATATCTGCTGTCTGCAGGGTGCTGTCCCCAGTTCTGGGCTCCCCACGACATGAAGAATGGGATGATTCTGGATCAAGTGAAATAGAGGTCACCAAACTGGTCAGAGGCTGGAGAACACGATGTGCAAGGAATTGCTGAGAGTGCTGAGTCTGCAGCCCAGGGAAGATCTGGCACGAGAGAGAACTTACTACTTTCTGCAAATACCCAATCAGAGGAGAGGAAAGAGAGAAGATGGATCCAGACACTTCTCAGAGTTGGATGGCAATAGGGCCAGAGGGAACAGACACAACTGGGAACATGGGAAATTCTGATTAGACAGTAGGAACCTGTGTCTTAATATGAGAATTCCCCACTGTTGTAACAGAGGCCCAGCTTCGGTTCTTAAAGGCCATCAAGATTTGATTGAAGCTTTGAGCAACCTGATCAGCYCTGCTTTGATTATGGACTTGAACTAGATGGAAATACAAAGGCCTTTTCTAGCAGCAGTGATTTGGGACCAGATAAGTACTGGCTTCAAGCACCTGAGATTAAAGTCCTATTTTTTAAAGTCCTATTTTTAAGTGGCTTATCCTGCAGTCAAAAAGAATACCAAAGAARGAAGAAGATGATGGTTTGACCCTCAAAGCCATTACACATTTCAAGGCTTTTGACTTTTAAGTCTGGGAGCCCTGGAGGAAGATACTGAAGAGGGGAAATTGAAAACAGGGGAAACCTGTAAACTTAAAATACATGCATCTSAACAACTTTATTATATAGGGAAGACACAAATACTCAGCAGCAGAGGTGACATGATTCCTCTGGGTTGACAGCAAAAAGAAAGCAATTTTCTTGCTACTTCTGGACCAAGCATGATCTCTAAATTTTTAAGGGCTTCCTTTGAAACATCCTTCCAATCAAGACAGAAACAATGCTGATATAAAAGCTGTTTGCCAGCCACATGTCCATCCTACTCTCAGACACCAAGGGGAGTGCTAGAGCTATCCAGAGGAAYGCCAAAATATTTTCTGCTAAATTTTTGTGTTAAAATGATTGCAGTTTTTTTCTCTGAAGCTTGAATAAAATAAAGAGAATTGGCCTGAGTGTGATACCTCACATAYGCAGTTTCAGTCTGAGTACCTGATGTCTAACATAGCTATAAGTAGCCAAAAAAGGTCTTGCATGAAGTGATATCCAGCCAYCTACATAACAGTATACTGCTACTGGCTCTGCCTCTAATAATCTGAGTTTATCAGTAACAGCTCTGTAAAATAACACCAGTAATTACYAGCATTTGCCAGCTTTTACATCAGCAATTTTACAGTTTCCTCATAAAACACAGGACATGTTTTTCTTATGGGAAATGAAGAAGAATGAGAGTAAATGAAGCAAATTGCTAGAAGTACTCTGTAAAGAAAAGCTGTTCTCCTTACTAAGCCACAGACTGTCTTATTAATTTAAAATTTTATTAAAAGCAAAATGAAATTTGAGAAATAAACAAGGAATTAGAAGCACAATAAGCCTGAGGATTAAAATTTAAAATGCTATTACTCTTTGCCTTTCAGTGAACCTGTCTGCAGGACTTGTTGGTAAAGCACTGTTCAAAAGCTTTAGGAAGATACTGAGCAGAAAGCAGGAAACATTGCAAGGGAAAGCACAGGAAAAAATCTCATCCAGTCATTTTTCTTGCATCCAGAGCACTTGCAAAAAATGATGCAGCTTAAATATAGGAAGTAAATATTTTCCAGTAAATATAAATAATCGCTCTTTTAAACTGCTTTAATAAATTTAACTCCTGAAGTTATTTAACTCCTGAAGCAGTTAGGAACCACAGAATTTTATCAGAAATATTTCACGCAAGCCAAGTTCAGCAGTCAGTCAGAGAGAAGCTACAAGAAACCAAAACTGAAAAAAACATGTCATGTCAACAGTTCCCCAAGCCAATACACTGTTTTGTTTTTAATATTTTATATTAAATATTTAATATTTAATATATTTTTTCTCCTTGATTAGTAATAGCTGTGGTTTCTTTCACTTCCTAGGTGTATTTGCTCTCTTCTACGTCAGTAACAAGTTCCGAACATATCCCTTYACCTTCAAAGACCAACTCATCATTTCTTACAGTGGCCTCCGAGGAGCCAGCAGCTTCTCTCTTGCATTCTTGCTTCCAGTGAATCTCTTCCCCAGAAAAAACTTATTTATCACTGCGACTCTTGTGGTTATATATTTCACTGTGTTCATCCAAGTAAGTGTGTCTCTTAGTGGATAGATTTCATGTAATAGAGATGACTGAAAGCTTCATACTGAAAATTGCACTGAGTTTACTCTTAGGCTGKGACAAGGTATTGCATTTTAGGGCCAGATTTAGCACTGCACTGTRTAATTAGCCTTTTTAGACCTTTTAGGTATTATAAAAATTATAAAAATTTTGTATTGAAAACATGTATCTTCTAAAATATTCAGGGGAGAGGGGAYATGGTGTCCAAAATTGCTTATGTTAGTTCCATATACATTTCCTGGTGCTTCCAATTTAAGAAGCATTTTAACTTTACATTTCAGCACTGAATCATTCCTTGTAAGTGACATATCTCAAACTGACCAGAAAACAATATTGTTCTATGATGGATTTTCAATTTAATACCTTTATCTACATCTGTCTTGGAGATCAAATACAAATATTTTGAAATCCTTTGTAAAGCAATGTTTAAAAAAGTTAAAGTGTGTAAGTCACATTTGAAAGTATAGGTGTCTGCTTTACATGTTTGGATTATTCCACCTGCCACACAGAATAACAGAAACTTCTAGAGAACTTGCACCCCATATTTTGTATTTTCCAATAGCAAGATCTCAGATCCTCTAAGGTTCCAATGGGGCACTATGCACTTGTGATAAGTAAAGCACTTAGGTTCCAGCAGAATGTTTCAGAAAAAAACAATTTGGTTCTATTTCCCCTTTTAATATGGTTTTCTGTGGCAGTGCAGTAAAGAAATAGGAACAATTTAAACCCGTTGCTAAGTGGAAAAACCCCTAAAATGTTTGATTCTGAAAATATTGAAGTAAATGGTTTCAAGATTGCAAGACCTCACAAAGATAATATTTTCCTTCAAATGAGTCCTGTTTTGAAGATGATTGGCAATGAATCAGTTACTTTACATAATTAGAATGCTCCAGTAAATATAATCTTGCTTTAAAAAAAAACCCTGGAATAAGATTTTTATAAAATGTTTTGATTTTTAATTCTCTTCTGTAGCTCTCCATAAAAATAATAATTAATTTTGGTGTTAAAACACAGCTTATCAAGTTGATTAAAATTAACCCCTTTTGCTTTCTTTCTATGTTTGTCTAAAAGGTAATTAACAATTCAACTCATTATTCCAAATGCAGGGAATCACAATTGGACCATTGGTCAGATACCTGGATGTCAAAAAGACRAACAAAAAGGAATCTATCAATGAAGAAATTAATGTACGAGTAAGTTTTTGAAATCAGTAGCTGGGACCCCAAAAAGAAGAGAATGAGTATTCCAAAAGAGCTGGACAGAGAGAGGCACTTGGAAGACTGGCATTCAATGGAKTTGGACACTCAATGCTTTCAAGAATATATGGAGGAAACCTTAGGAATAATTTTCTAAAATATTAMATCTGATTTACATCCCTATTTAATATCATGTTATAATATCATTTCACAAGTGCCATCGTGTAGTAGGTATTGGTACYGTGACCGTGGGAGGAGAGAAACAGAAAGATAATATTTACAAAATGCACTCAGCATCCTTCTAACTGGATTTGTCAGACACATTTTTTTCCATCTTTTGACTGGTTCTAGGCACACTGAAAACTTAAAAGTCTTTAATCAAGATTTATTGAACTGAGTTGAACCACTGGAGTGCAAATTTAGTTACAAGTTATTCTGAGTAGTGATTTTTTCTCCTCTCAAAYACTTACTTCAGTTCTCAAATTACTATTATATAAAAAAAAAAAACAGAAAGTTGCTCAATCTACTGAAAAATGTTGTACAAAAGGTATGTACATCCTTTCATTTTCACAGTAAGGAATACATTTGAAATTAACAGAAACACTGTGCCTTAAAATGAAGCACATGCAGAGGCCTTAGCAGAATTAGCTAATTTCAACTGATTCTGAAATTAAAGTGAATTTAATTCTTACTGTTTGAACCTTTACACTTAACCTTGAATAGAACTTGCATTTAAAAGCAGCCTTATGACARTATGTCTGTAAGAATTGGCCTTTTCCTGTCTCTGTAATGCTAGAAATGCACAAAAAGTGATTGAAAGACATAGTGGTTGTAAGTGGCCAGTTTCATGTCATTCTTCATGTGAAAATTTTCAAGAGAATTTACCAGACAAGGTGAAGGTGTTGATACCTGTGCCTCTCCCAGGAAGGTCACACATAAGGAGGGAAAGCTTGGTTGACAGCATCAAGAATTTATTTTTTTGCGTCTGGTAGACAAAAAAGGACCAGACAATTTTTTGCCTCCATCAAAATGCTGCCACTGTGGCCAAGCTGCCACAATGGCATCTTTGCCTTGATTTTTACAGAAATGTAGGTGCTTTCAGAATGAATTTACATGCTCAATTAAAAAAACAAAAAATCTCAAAATCATGTCAACAAGTGAGTATTTGTGGTAACATGCTTTTTTTAAAATGACCACTTAGAATTTTTCCACCTTTTTTCCTATAGTTGATGGATCACTTGAAGGCTGGTGTTGAAGACATATGTGGACACTGGAGTCATTATCAGCTGAGAGATAAGTAAATATCTCTTATTGCAGTCTAATATAATAAAATAACCTATCTATCATGTAAAATACAGTAGGTAAATAGAACAGGAAATCAAAGTGCTGGGGTCATGTGCAATATCTCTTTTTGAAAAGTGAACTCCTGAGTGTTCATTAACTCTTGGGASTGCAGTGCTCATACACTGCCTGGTAAATTGGTTCTGCACAAGCAGAAAATAAGCCTTTAGAAAGAAAAATATAGAAGGGAACTCATACTGCAGACATCAGCYCTTGCACATAGCTTTGGTATACATCTAAGAGCCTGAGCAATGCTTCTTTAACTCTGTATTTAGAATGTGAGCTACTTAAGGTGTCAGTGCTTCACTGACTTTTGCTGTGAGCCTCCACAGCAAGGAAGATCCCTTGATGGTGARTAGAGATTCAGTAAAAAAAAAACTAACAACAAAAACCAGGTATTTGCATTCAGCAATATCTAAAATAAGAGTACTGAAGGGAATGTTTGAATTTAAATATCCTGTGGCAAAAMCAGATACAATCAGGCTAGTCTTTACTCAGAAATGCAGGGCCTGCATTGTCTCTTCCATAAGCAGGATGAGGTGGTTTTGTGAAGCTTTGTGGCTCTTCCCAGCACTGCCAGAAGAGATGGATCTGCTGCTCCCTTTACCTTTTCCCTAGGGGAGCCCTGTGTACATGTTGGGGAAGTAGGGAAAAAACTAATCTTTATTTTCCCCAGACATCTCACTATGATGCTGTGGGCTAAAAGTTTCTCTAATTATTCTACCTATGCCTAATTATCCTACCTATGCCTAGTCTGTGCTGGAATCCCACCTGAGCTTTCAGTATTGGAATCCAGTAATCYAGCCAAGGATATTTGCTGGGACATGTGGCAACTCCTTTCAGGACTGGGTTTCTCCCTATGGAAACCAAGGAATTAAGAGTGGAAAKATGGTGACTGGTTTGCATCCAGTTCTTGGCCCAGTGGAGAATAATGATACTCCAGAAATACAAAATACAATACCCAGAAACTCAAATGTCTTCTTGGCTCTGACAGTACACAGATAACTTTAGAACATCCATCTGCTGGGACATCTCCACTGTCTGTGCAGTCAATAAACTGAACAAATCCCTGCTGGAGCAGCAAATCCAATTGAAATAGCTGCATTTACACATATCTCTGAGYAATTGTCTCACATCTACCTGATAGCTCTGAAAAGAGAATTTTGCCCACACTAGACACAAATGCAGTGTTTTGGTTCATGAACAGATTCAAACAACACACAATGTCTGAAGATATTTAATGTAAGAAGATTGTAATAAAACGTATTCCTAAACTTTTCTATGTAACTTTGAAGGTTTGAATCAAACTTACCTAAGCAATGACARTCCAGGAGGCTTTCTGTTACACAGAAAAACATGAAGAGCTCTAATCTCAGTTTGTGTACCTGCCTCTGCTGTGAATGAATAAAAAATAGCCTTTGGTAAGGAAAAAAATATACAAATTCTGTAGTGCTTTTCCCAGCTTTGTGGAGCACCTTACCTTGCTGTGGTAAACTGTTCCTTTGAAAGAAACAGAACTGTTGCTCTGCTGAAGATCTACTGTTTTTCTGCTAAATGTCTGCCTGAAAGCACGTACCTGTTCCAAGGCCCACGCACACATTCACATTCAAATTGTGCCACACATTAGCGATGTTTTACAATCTGCAGCATGCAAGCACACAGTATTTTGGGGTCCTTTCAATTTCTCTGTTATTCAGAATACAAAGAAATGTATTTTCTCTGCTCTAATTGTCAGGATTCAAAATTATCAGCAACGTAATGGGCCCTAACTACTGTAACTGCTGGGCCACTTAGAGCCTCATTGGTGGCTGTCTGAATAGGAAAGGATTACTGTAAGAGCAGCTGCTGCTGTTATGCCCTACTATAATGCAACATTTGTACAAAAGCGTGGAGACTGGCCATATTCTTTTCTGACAAATGTGGCAGTGTAATATGCAAACATACACGCAGCCCTCCTTTTTGCTCTGATTGCAGCTTGTTTCTTTCTTTTGTCTAGCGGGCTCTGCAATCTCTGTGGACCAGCAGACTATGCCAAATATCCCCCTAAAGGTCTCTGCTCACCAGGCCTTCAGGAGTCCACAGGTGCCTCTAATTTCAATTCAGTTTCCACCACTGAATTGTAGATGTGTGCATTTGAATGAAGATCAGCTTGTACTACACAAATGAAAACATATTTCCTTTTTTATACTATGATTTTGGCACCTCTTTTGCAGATTTAAGAAGTTTGACAATAAGTACTTGAAGAAAATTTTGATTCGGGAACACCAGCCCAAATCCAGCCTTGTGTCATTRTACAAAAAGATGGAGATAAAACTGGCCATCGAGATGGCTGAGAGTGGCATGAAAATCTCAAAATCATCCACTACTTCTTCACAGTGAGTACCAACCTCCTGGCCCTTTGCAGAGTAGGGATGGGAAGGAATGGGACAAAAATGAGTAAGTACCCAAAATATTCCATTACTTCAGTTGAAATGTAAGAAAATAAAAGACAGTTATAAAAAGAGAAGTTTCAATTTAGTGTTCATCATATTTGCACTTTGCTAAGAAAGTGAAAATTAAAACCGTGGACATTTTCTCTGTTTCTTTTCAATGATGGGCAGTCCCAAAGAGGGATMTTGAGTCAGGTACAGAAGCCACTCTGGTTGTTTTAAATCACAGTAGTGACTCCAGTACTTATCACTTACCTGGCCAGTGGGTTTTGTTAATCTCTGCCAGGTGCTGAGGAAAGTGCAGGATGGCTCAGTAAACTGGCCCTGACTCCAATATCCCAATCATGAATTTTTGCTGAGAACAAATATCTTTGTAGCATTTGCAATTTTTGCTTCTCCAGTTTGCAATCCCTCAAACCATCTTGCCATATTTCRGTGTTGCCAAAACAGACAAATTTGTCCAATGAAACATTGAGAGCAGCCTGCCAAGAAGGACTTGAAGATAGTTGTGGTTGAAGTGTGGACATGAGCTGGCAATRTGYGCTTGCAGCCCAAAAAGACAACCATAACCTGTATCAAAARYARCATGRTCAGAAGGYTGAGGGAGGGGATTSTCYCCCTTACTCTASCCTTGTAAGAMCCTATAATGCTGTGTCCAGCTCTGGGGTCTTCAGTACAGGAAAGACATGGACCTGTGGGAGCAGRTCCAGAGGAGTGCCRYGAAGATGATCTGAAGGCTTCTCCTACGAGACAAAGCTGAGAGAGTTTGAGCTGTTAAACCCAAAGAAGGCTCTCAGAACACTTGACTGCAACTTTTCAGTACTTAAAGAAGGCTAACAAAAGAGATGGGGACAGAATTTTCAGTAGGCTTTGTAGCAGTAGGACAAGGAGAAGSTAGGTTCAGATCAGACACAAGAAYGTTTTTATGACGCAGTGGTGAAACCCTGGAACAGATTGCTCCGGGACGTGGCAGATGCCTCATCCCTGGAAATATTCAGGGTTGGGTGTAATGGGGCTCTGAAACATCTGACGGAGCTGAAGATGTCCCTGCTCATTKTGGGGTTTTTGGAACCAGATGWAAACCATTCYRTGATTCTATGAAACMRTAAYRCAGCTTGGCATCRGGCAGCTCAGACCAGGGGACAAAACTGGTGGGATCTCCAGAGCCACCACGGAGGGAATTACCCTCTAGGAGAAAAGTCTGCATAAACCTTCCCTCCTGCATACTGCAATTGATATGCATGTATTTATCCTCACCTTGCAAGAGGCTGTSCAGAGCACAGGTATTTCTGAAGGCACTTGCCTCCATAAATTTTCCCGGGCTCTTGCTGACCACTGTTGCTCTATTGTTTCCTCTTTCCTGTTGCATCCTTGAACCATTCTCCATTTTGCTGCAGCCTCTGGTAAGGCCCAGAATATTTTATTTTTTGAATGATGATCTCTACCAATAACAGAAAATCCAAATACTAACTGGATGTTAAATTAAAATCTTTCTTGAAACTTTGACTGAGTCATGTCAAGATCAATCTGTTTTCTGGTGCTGCTATCAGCATGCAGTGTAAGACTGCCCTTTTATYTAAATTTTTATTTGGTGAATGGATGATATTAWAAAAGACTGCATGTATTTCAGCCTMMTTTCTATCTGCTGTAATSCCTTAACTGTTCTAAGCCAAGAGAAAATGTGCAAGGTTGTTAGACAATCCAGAACAATCAAATTACATACCTCTTCTTTTCCTGAGGGAGAAAGAAAATAAGACAAATTGATACAGCAGAGTTCAGAAATTCTTTCCTGAGCTGAAAATTTAGATTGAAAAATATTCCATAATAAACAGCAGATACGATGGATTAATTTTTCGATCTCTGCTATGGCTATAATTGAATTTCACTGTGCATCATACTCTGATGAGAAAGCCTTTTTAAAAATGAAGTGTCAACTTCAAAAAAACAGCCTGTGGCTCAAAACGATTCTGATCTTGCAGGCTGCGAGAGTGTTTTAGGAAAAGGCACATTTCCCCACCTCTGTTCATTGATAAGTGTCTGCTTTTGAGCACTGCAGGAGACAGGATATTGAGCTAGTTGTTAGATCTTTGGTTTTATCCAGTACAGCAGTTCTGCTATTGCCCTGAGCAATTAAATGAACCGGTGTAAAAGGTTTGTAAGTGTATTTATAAATTGATTGCTATCATTGAGACAGCTTGTACCTAAAGTCCCTGTCTTCAGTGAAGATACAAAAGTCTGTCCATGAATAAGAGAAGATTTGAAATAAAATTCCAATGTATGGCATGTAAAGCATTACTAGAAGTGYCAGAGTAGTGAGAAAAGTCTAAACCACACTTCTCATCAGTTTTGCAGCCTTTATGCACATAAGATTTGCTTTATAAGAATTAAAGCAGATCTCCAATGCTGTGAATTAGCAGAATTGCATTCATGCTGGTGTGATTTCTGCAGGTGGAGTGGATGTCCAATTTACAGTAAGTATTTCTAGTGCAAAGTGAAAAAATCTGCCCATGGATTGTGCAACAAAGAATCCACATTTGAATGAAAGCAGAACATTTGGTTATTATGTTTTGGAGAATATAGGCCTTATGAATAAGATGGCAAGAGCAGAGTTTAGGAGATATTATCAAAACTGTGGGTTTATGGCTGTTTTTTGTAGGAAATATGACCATTAGAGAGAAATATGGTCTGATGCTGAGCTTACTTAATGTTGACTACATATTGGTGCAATATTGGCTTTGGTAAATGTCAGTATATATCAATAGAGTACAGATCAGAACCAARCATTGTGTTGTCGTTTGTGGTCGTATAGTTCTGAGAGAGCTGTGCCCAATAATTGTATTCCTTCACAGGACCAATGAAGATTAATGGAGATTTTACAAAGCTCAAAACTTTAGATATCATATATAAAAAAAATTACAGAGTTTGTGGAAGTATCAATGTTTCAAGTACCTATATATCAAGTATCAGCTCTCTCCATATCTAAAGAAGAAAGAAATACTGTCATGGCTGTTATTATAGAGAAACAGTTTTCAGGGCATATTATAATATCTCTTTTTTCTTCACAAATATATATTCTTTGTTGTTCTTCATTGTAACATGTTRGAAGATTCAATAAGAACAAAGAAATTGTTTCAGTAAGGATTACTTTATGGGTTYGGTAACATACCAAGCATGTTTGAGGGTTTTTGATATATCTATTCCTTATTACCATATATATGCATTGTTATCAGTTGGGTAGGTTCATATCCAATCCCATGAAAAGAATTATTTTTTTTATTATTTGTCCTCCAGAACAATGTGGATTATCTTCATGCTGTTCATTCTCTTGCTACCTTCAACTGAAACACTAGGAATTTTATCTATTCTATTTGATTCACTCTAAGATCAAAATAATAAGCTTTTAAATTACTTAGAACTGGCTACTTCTGTGCTGGCATGTGCAGAAGGTCAGGAATGCTGCTGGAAAAGTAAAGAGATAATCTGATAATCCCCAGTGGAGTCAAGCTTTCCCTTGTTAGATGCTTTCCCCGATTTATTCCCAATCATAAGGTGTAAAGACCCTGTGGACACATTCAGTGAAGGACAAAGCAGGGAGGCAGCTGCTCCCTGTGCTGTCAAAACCACCTGTAGCAACCACTCAGTTTTGATTTGCATTGCACAAATGAGCCAAGCCTGCATTTTAGAGATCAAATATTGCTGACCAAGGTCCCCAGGATCTGTGCTTGTGTGCATTTCCCCAGGAGCACTTAGGGTCTCCCTGTTGTCCAAAGGGACATCAGACAGGGGCTGCTGACAGCAGGGACTCTGGGTTCCTTGCTGGGGAAGGCAGCACATGTGGGCTGTGCCCCAGTCTCAGATGCAGCACACCCAGTATGGCATTACACCCAAGCCTGGAAACTTGGTGGCATCCCTGGATCCTCTCAGTGTTCTCTCAGAACTGAAAGAAAGTGAAAAAGGATCCAACCAGCCAATGCACCCACCCAGCCAGCCTGGAACTGGGCAGGGATGAAGTGTTCTGTAGTGTTTCTGTAGTTTCTGTAGTGTTAAATAACTAACTTTGTTGTTACTACARTTGTTGAGAATTGATGAATATCAATTGAACACATGTTGGAAAGGATTTATATGAGACAAGATTTCTGATCAAATCCAGAAAAGCAAATCCTTTTCTGTCACACTTATGCACCAGTGGCAGACTCACGGGTCTCTCATGTTTCAGTGAGGTCCTTAACCTGTTGCTTATCCCAGTCCTATCTCTAATACTACAGTTAAACCTGCTGTTAATATCTCTTTTTGTTTTTATTCCACAAAAAAAAAAAAAAAAAAGTCAAGTCTCAGTTTTAGTCTGATGGCAGAATGAAAACACATTTGAAAACCTTGAAATATATAAAGAATTAATTCTTATATTCCAGGGGCTTTGGACAGGGCCAGGACACCAGTGATCACTGTCTGCTTGATGGTGACAGRCAATAAAATATAGAATCCAGGCAGTTCATGTTGGTCCTACAAGTTTTTTGAGATGTCCATGTTAGATTATAGAACAAAACAGTGGTAATATTGTTAAACTAGATGTAACTGCAAACTCCAAATCTCAGTTTAGCTTGGATCCATCTTCCTTTGCCATTAAAAGTTTTTAATTTATTTTAGAGGAAGTATGAGATAGATGCACACAAACTTTGACAATACTGTACATTGATCATCACTGATTTTTCAATTGCACAGTTTACAGACAGCACTTTAAGGATATCACTTAACTGAAAACTCTTGTGATCACTTTTTTTGAAAGAGGCAAGAAAGCAAAATGGAGAAAGGAGAAAGTCAGAAACAGTGAGATGAACTCAGACTGATTCATCCTGGATGATCACTATCTATTTTCCTTTCTTTTCTTGGGAATTTGTCTGAACACTAAYTCTCACAGAGATTGATTTAGTGAAACCCGATAACATTTCACAGCAGCTCTCCTTGGCTCTTTTGCTGATGAAAAAGCCAGGCAGCTACAAGTGACTGTGGGCTTGTCAAAGTTTTTTAAAAACACTAAGATGACTATCTTTTAAGTGGTTCTTTCATTTCAAATGGATAAACAGGTTCAGTAGCAAGGAAACTCTATATGTGCTCCTCACCACAGGGCAGGGCTCTCAGACTCCACAACTGGCATACTTTTTAGTTCTTAAGGAGTTTTTTCACTTTCTCAGAGGAGTAAAAAGCAAGGCCCAGGCTGCTCGACCATGCTGAGGTCTTTATTCAGACAGAGGAGGAACCTTACAGTGCTTTCCTGAGCTGGCTGTGGCCTAATCTAACCCTTAAACAGGAACGTTCTTTTGGAGGTTTGAGAAAGGAGAGTTTCTGCTGCCAGCTATATGAGTGCTTAGGGCCCAATTTGACTACCCCCTACATGGAAAAAAACYCACAAAATAGCAAAATTTGACCTTTTTTATTCATCTTTGGATGATTTCCTTGTGTTGCTGGTCACTGAAAGTCCCTTCATAGCCTTCTGTTCTAGCATTGCATTATTCCATGGGATTAGTATTTAACCAGCTCATTAATATCATATTCAATATCCCCTTTTATTTGCAGGAGCGGCAGGAAGCAGCGTGCGCACCGGCTGTCCCCCGCAGAGGTGGAGTCCATGAGAGATGTGCTGGCACACAACCTGTACCGAGTGCGACAAAGGGTGTGTGAGCCCGCGGCTGTCGCTCTGTGTTTACTCACCCGCAGCCTTGTTTGCCTTCCCTTCCAGGGAGAGCTGGGAGCCTGCAGCCGCCCCAGCCGAGGGCAGCGAGGGGAGAACCGCGGGCTCGGGCACTCATTCGGGGGGATAAATGAAAGCTGCCTTGGCTTT